TAATTATTACGTATAATAAATTTAATTGACCACGTAGAATTTCTTGATGCTATTCATTTTGTATTGAGTCCATTCTGTCGACGCGGAATTTCAATATGCCTTCCCTTACATCCTTGACCTAAATAAGTTCACCCCTAGGGTAGGGGGATGATTGCTCGCATTTAGCTGTCGTTAGCAATGTTCAATAAGTATTATTATTTAGTAAAATATAGACTACAAACCTCAAATTCCACGCATGTTGATTACGGGACTACACTTTTTTAATTTGTCGTTTTTGTAGTAAAGGAAATTATTTTAAAAATAATATAAGGGTACCCAATGTTATAGACAAAAGTTTTTTATCGGAAATATATAGGAATAGACAAGTATTAGCGTTAATTGTAGATTGTCTATGATTGTGGGTTTGTATTAAAATAAGATCAAAGATTTTTAAAAGTTTTGATATAATTACGTTACCTATTTGTAGACAAAATATCACATTCAACTGTAAAACCGGACGTCGTGACGATGTTAGGTCAACTAGATTAGAAATGAAAAGATTGCACACTGCCGGCCATTTTGGGATGTGAACAGTGGGCCTAGCATGAATATGTGCGACAATCTCCTTCGTACTATCATCAACTATATCGTTATAAGTATGAGATTTTTAGTGTACGATACGATGGAACTTATCACAAATATTCGTGATAGGTCCACTATTTGTTATTTCCTTTTTCATTTTAGTATAAGATGATATTTTTATTGGATGTTTATTAAAACGGCTTTATGGATACTGCACAGTGTGATTATTTATTAATTTCCTAACTACGCTTCTTAGAAGATACAAGTACTTAAAGCTACGCTTTTTATTTGACTAATATTATAAATGCGAATGTTTAGATGGATGAATGGATGTTTGTTTGAAAGTATAACCGTAACGGCTTAACGGATTTTAATGAAATTTGACATAGATGTAAAACATATCCTGGAAGAACACATAGGCTACTTATTTTTTTATTTCCGCACGGACGGTTCCGTGAGCCAAATAGATGTAGTTAGGTTATAAATATATTTAATCTGACGCAAGGAAGTTTGAGTTGCGTTAGAATGGGATAGTTATTTGCGAAACATTGTTAGTGTGTCAAGCGCATAATCGAATAAGGCCTTGTTCTAGAGTAAGGTCGCGTTTCTTTCGACCTGCTTACCCAGTCGCGAATTCCTCTCTCCGACCGAACCGGCTAATCGGTTATATACCGTTTAGTAATTGCCTAATTTCAATGATTACACTGGTTTATGATTGTCAAAAAACAGTTGTTCTTTTGTGTAGCGATTGCTTTCTGTTATGCGTATTTTAGACTTTATGTTACTAATATTATAAATGCAGAACAGCACAACGGATCTCTATAAAATTTGGCATAGATGTAGAGTTTGGAAGAACACATAGACTACTTATTATTTTTTTAATCTGCGCGGACGTTGTAACGGCAGCTAACCTATATAATTATTTTATAATGCGACAAGTTCAATTATAAAAACACTAAATTCTTAAAGGATCTATGACTTATATAAAATTCGAACTTTATGTTAAAAGAAGTCAAAATGAAATTATCGGTTTGGGTTTATTTTTTTTGTTTGATTGCCACTGTTTGCCTTGAAGAGGCATCTGCTATTACATCTGGCTTTACGAAGCAGATTTGTCTGTGCAATAAAGTCCACATCTAGGCGAAAGTAAAATCACGATATTCAAAGGTCAAAATAATTATTGTTGGTACATTGATCTATAATTAAGGTTATGTTAAATAATTAAAACAATATTTTTTGAGAACGATCCGTAAATTATTTTTATTGCTATTAAAAAACAAGAAAAACGTTTCGACCTAAATATTTTTATATTATACTTAAATAGTAAATACGTAAGTTTTGATGGATGGATGTTTGAAGGTATCTCCAAAACGGATACTGATATTAGGCAAGGATGTAGAATGTAGTATGAAATAAGGCATAGGCTACTAATTAAGTTTTTTTTTAATCCGTCTCGGACGAAATGGAGGGCGACAGCTAGTATTTAAATAATTAGTGATAATTGTCAATTATATTCGTGATAAAGTGTCTTCATTTCACTGACATCTGATTCCCGCCATGTTCTGACAACTGACAGGTTGTTGAACCGTCGATAATATTGTCCCGTTTAATTTCTTATCTATGTATATTTATATTTACATCAATACATTTTGGTTATTATCGAAATTACTTCAATGATGTGTATTTATAATTTTATTTAACAAGGAAATTCTTTGTGATGTTAATTTACGATGACTTTTGCTTTTGCGTTCGAAAATGATTCGTTGTCTTTTGTCTTTTTAAGTGAGTTTCCGCTGGAGAAAATATTTTGTTATCAATGACTTTAAAAAGAATAAAAAGGATAAAAAAATATTGGCCATAGATAAAAAAAAAGTCGTAAGCGCTTTTTTTTAAATATGAACAATACATTTTCAAACAAAGGTCATGCATTTGGTAAGTAGTTGAAAGCATTCGTTCGTACGTAAAAGGGCGGGAACTTTGACATTAGGTTTTATCAAAGAGAAAAAAGCTTTTAGTTCCTTTGTGAGTTGTTTGTACATAGCCAGTAGTAGTACATATTTTCAGATAAAATATATTTCTTTTATTTAATTTAATACAAAGAGTATTAGTTTTAAAAAGTTTTATATGCGTTATTCTCTTGCCATTGTGAAGCTAAATTATCATTGAGTAATTAAGATACATTTAATACTAGCTGTCGCCCGCGACTCCATCCGCGCGGAATTTAAAAATAAACTTAATAAGTGTCCTATGTGTTCTTCCAGACTATGTTCTACATCTATGCCAAATTTCAGCGAGATCCGTAAAGCCGTTCCGGAGATACCTTCAAACAACCCATCCATCCAAACATACGCATTTATAATATTAGTAAGATTGTGATAAAAAATGATTTTTTTAACTAGTAACATAGTTATAAGAACTATTACTAAGAATTCGTCTGCATTTTTATTTATATCTATCTATATTTTTATTCTATCTATCTATATTTTTATTATATGTCAGTTTTTCAAGATTTAAGTGACATAATATTTTCGTAGAAACGGGTATTTTTTACCAAAATACTTGTCGCCAATGAAAGTGTGATTGAAACAGTATTTTCGTTACTAGAAAGTAAAGTACTAAGTTTCAGTTTAGAAAAACTTAACTATTTTATCGTTACAATGAAACTTAGCTCGGACAGTTTTATTTCTTAACCGCAATACGAATTGATAGAAAGTTTATAAATATTTTCTTCATTTTACAGCGAAAAATTGTTTTTTTTTTTGTAGATAAGAAGATTTCTATATTACGAAACTATGCCTTTAATAAACTTTGGTATTGCAAAAACTATCAGATTCAAATAGTCTTAATCTATATATATAAAAAAATGTCGTGTTACACTATTTATAACTCAAGAACGGCTTTACCGATATGGCTGAAAATTGGTGAGGAGGTAGCTCAGAGCCAGGAGACGGACATAGGATACTATTTATTCAATTTTTTTGTCGAATTTATTTCTTGAAGAGCTGTTTTTTTATTTAACTTACTAATATTATAAATGCGAATGTTTAGAAGATGTGATGTGGATGGATGGATGGGTGTTTGAAGATATGTCTAGAACGGCTGAACGGATCTCATTAAATTTGGCACACGTATAGAACATAGTCTGAAAGAACACATAGGCTACATTAATTAAGTTAATATTATAAATGCGAATGTCTAGATTGATATTTGTTAGTATGTATCTCCAGAACGGCTGCATAAATCACGCTGAAATTTGGTATAGATGTAGAACATAACCTGGAAGAACACATAGGCTACAAATTAAGTTTCTTTTTAATTCCTTGCTGACGGATTCGCGGGCCAAAGCTAATATATAGTAAGTTCGCATTTATAATATTAGTAAGATGTAAAGTTAATACAAAGTTGCATAAGTGTATATTATATCTACGTAACTTAACCATCACTTATCTACCTAAGCTATTTGTAACCACAAATACCACGGAAATAAAGTTATACATTTCTTGTCGATGATTTATTATAGTAAATAGATGCAGTCCACGTCTCAGTCTGCGCGGAATTTAAAAATAACTTAATTAGTAGCCTATGTGTTCTTCCAGACTGTTCTACATCTATGTCAAATTTCATCGAGATCTTAGCAGCCGTGCTGGAGATACTTTCAAACAAACATCCATCCATACATCCAAACATTCGCATATTAGTAAGAAGTAAGATAATAGTAAGATGTAAATACGTGGTTCAAATATTTTTCTTGTGGTTAATTGTAAGCAGAATATAGGCAAAAACCGCAAATATCACCGCAAAGACACATATTATATTAAACTTTTAAGGGAAAATTATGATTTTTTTCCTGTTTTTCATAAGAACTGGCTGAATATATTTTCGGGAATACCAAGTAATTTTTAATTATCTGTTGCCGAAGGTTTTACACGCCCATTGTCCGTTTTAAGACGAATTTTCCAAATTCAATTGGAATATAACATCTTTAAAATGTGTTCATGGAAATTATTAGTTTTTTTTAGTTGTAAAAAAAGAGCAAAGATTTTAACATCGTTACAACGAAATATTTTACTTTAACAAATCAAATACATAAAAAAAACAACTGTCAAACAATAAGGTATTCGTACGTGGAAGGCTGGACAAGACTCCAACGAAATGCTGTCTTTCTTGTTTTAAATTTTGACTGCTTGTTTTTGTACAAGCCTTCTTGGAAAGCGTTTAATTTCGCCAACGGATGTAAAAAGGGAAAATTGAACGTACCGTTTTGGATTTTACATTGCATTTTTAAATTAAAATAATCGATCCTTATACTCGTTTTTGTATGAGCAATATCACTGTTATGTCATTAAATATTAAAGTATTTTGCGTAATCTACAAGTTTATCAAAAGGTAAAAAAAATACATAATCTGTAACTAGATGAAATTGAACGCGTTTGTTGTAGACATTTTCGTGAAGAAGTGGCGCCAAACGAGTTATTTGTGACCCTAATAGAGGGGTTGGAGGCGGGCCGATCGATGCTCCCACGTGCTCTGATGCAATCTCCACAGATTATAACATAAACATATTAAGAAAAAATTCTTAACTGCCAGTAAGAACTTATTGTTATTAAAACTTCTTTTGCATTATTGGGTTGTATTATTTGCTTTAATATAGAATTAATATTTAAATTACTATTTAAAGCGATAATTCAAGGAACAAAGTTATCTTTTATTGACCAAAGCATTATCTAATTACTTCCAGATATATTCTTAGAAATGTTTGGATTGTTTTAATCTGCATTATTAAACGAATAAAATTAAAATCATTTGGACTTCTTATAATATTTCTTTCATTAGAATGCTTATAGTATAGTAAAAATACAAGCCATCTTTACCATGTTAAATAAATCTCATTGTACAAGCCTTATTTTTAATTCATATAGTTTTAAAACAACATTGTATTCAGTTGCAATGCCAGATTACTTGACTTTAATAAATATAAATTGAATAACGATTGACATTTCTATTGCGTGTCTACAAAAATGAAGATCGGTCGTGTCTTATAAATTATTTAATAAAATCTCTGTCCAAGTTTTTAATCATAAAGAAATTTTAAGATTGAAAATAGAAATAAAAATATTAAAATGATTAAATCGTAGTCTAAAATTACATTGGTAACATTAATTTAAATACGTTGATTGGCATAAAAATGACATATAAATTATTATTAAAAAAAAATTAAGCTTTTTAACCTTTTCACCTTCAATCAATTGAATGCGTTAGTGAAATAAATATATTGGCGTGAAATTCCTTGCAATAAATTAAAACCGGCTTATAAAATATACAATTTCATTTATTAAATAACTGTATAATATGCAAATGTCAGGGGTCAAATAAAAAATATTTAAAACAAATATAATAACATACAAAAATCAATATTGGACTTACATTTCAAAATCTTTTTCGTAACTTTACTTAATCGATTTAAAAAAAAACACTTCACGAGATTCCCGCGCTTTTAGAGGCGAGCGACTTTGCCCGCCAACACGATTCGCGAGACTGCCGTGCGCCATTTGTTGGAACGAGACAGCAAAGCTCTTTGACCTTGGTGTGAAAGAGGGAAGTATACTTTCGTATTGAACGAAAACTAGGGGTTGGACGTGGGGTTGTAAGTTTTCAGCCACGCAATATTATGTAATAGTGTAAAAAAAAATTATAACCAGTAAATTATTTTTAATTTATCATCAAAATTATATTTCATTCAAGATTTTAATTGCAGTGTTAAATTAGAAGAAAAAGATACTGTTAGATAGATTATCACAAGCGTTTTGTTAAAATTTATTATTTGGTAATCGCAACATCAACTTGAAAGCAATAATTAAATTTTCCCGCATTTACAACAGCAATGAAGTATTGTTCAGCTTAGAAATGACTATTGAAAATATATTTTTGAAGCTCTGATAAGCATTTGTAAGTTCCACTTTCTGCACACTGACATGATGCATGGCAAACACCCATTGAGTTGTAATGTCTGCTTATAACTTAAAAATTATGTCATGGTTTTCGTAAAATTATTTCTTCCTTAAGCATTTCAAAACATTTTTATTCCTTTTAAATGGTCAACATCTTGTTTAAGATTACATGGTCAAATTCATTCGTCCTATACCTTCCAGGATTAAGAAATTACATGCACACGAGCAGATTTAAAATTACTAAGTCGTTGCGTCACTTCATGAAATTGATAATTCCATATGAGCTCATATATCCTAAATCGCGTGCTTAACATGTAATGCGAAATTAATGCTTTAGTTTATCTTCAGTATGCCGTTAAATTAAATACACTTAGGATTGTGGTCACCACCATGGAGCTTATTATCTAAATCTTGTATAATATCTAGAAAAAATTAACAGTTATAGATAACTAGAATGAATTGAAGGTAAAATGCTATTATTCGTTTTGTCTTCCTTTTTTGGGATTACGAATTAAAAAAAATGTGTTTTATCCTTTTGTTATTTAAAAAACGGTTTGTTTTTACTCTTTGATTAAATAATTTTTGGTAATGGCAACATCTTAGCGGAATGAAGTTGTCAACTCGCCAATGAAATATGACAATTTCATCAAATTCAAATGATAAACATAAAATTTTTAAATAATAATTATAACTATTGACCTTATTAAAAATTAAAAAATTGTAGTGAATTATTTAAAACGATACATTTAATCAGCGTTATCATATAAATTCCATAAAATTAGTTACTTCTAGTGAACTACACTAATGAAAAGTAAAAAGTGTTAAAAAGTGTCCTTTTTGATCAAGAAAAGTTACCATTTAAATTACATAATCTTATTTTACCTTTAGTTAACCAACTTGCCGGCTTTAAATACTAAAATGATTGAAATAAATCGAGTTTTAGTGTTATATGGTAGTCAAACATTTACAGCCCAAGAGATAGCTGAAAGAATATGGCGAAAAACTAAAGCACTTGGTTTTAGAGGTCCTGTTCAGGCCATGGACGATTACCCCATATCCCAATTAATTCATGAAAAGTTTGCTATCTTTGTAAGTTCAACTACAGGGCAAGGCGATGAGCCTGATAATATGAAGAAATTCTGGAAATTTCTATTGCGAAAAAACTTACCTGCAAACTCATTAAGAAATCTTAAATTCGGTGTGCTCGGACTAGGTGACTCATCATATGAGAAATTTAATTTTGTTGGTAAAAAACTTAACAAGAGATTAATACAATTGGGTGCAACACCATTGTTAGATGTTGGTAAGCATTTTTACTCTACAAGAAGTCATCAGTATCCACAAATCCTATAATATAGATTACTACAGACCAAAGAAGTAGTAAAACATGAGTTTATGGTTTCCACAATCCCACAACTACTGCTTTTAGATCGCTTCAGACAACCCAGCTAGGCGAGGTGGGTCATGTGAAGAACTCCAAAGTCAAGTATTAAAAACATCACAATCTTACTATACCATACAGCCAATCAGCATTTCTAGTGTTATGTTCTAGCATTTGTCAGTGGCTTCTTAACTGTACCAGCACATATTTTATACTAATTTTAATTTGTGTATATGCACTATATTAAATATTTCATAAATTTCAGGTCTATGTGATTATCAACATGATTTAGGTCATGACGCTGTACTAGAGCCATGGTTAGATAAGTTTTTTATTGAACTAAAGCAATATTTTCCCGAAATACAAATGGATGAATTAAATGACAATTTTATTCCTAAATGGAAAGTATCATTGATAAAGGATAAAGAGAATTTAAATAATATTGCTTATGAAGATATTTATTTTGCGAATGGACAAAAAAATGCTTACTTAGAACCAAAGTTCCTAACAGTAGAGAAAAATGTAAGGACAACGCATGAGACACATTTTCAGGTATGTTTTCTTTTTAAAAAAATTTAATTAAGAATAAAACTTAAAAATGTTGCCAGTACCAACTTGTATACAACTAGCAACCCTTCCTTGAACCTGAAATTTTTCTACATATTTTCAGGATGTCAGATTAATCACATTCAGATCAAATAATGATAATAAATTAGATTTTAAGCCTGGTGATATATTCAATATAAGGCCAAGAAACTCTAAGGAAGATATAGATGATTTGTTTACCATATTTCAATCGCATGGTATAGATATAAAACATTATTATAAGCTTTTAGTAGAAGAATATCATGATGGTAAGTCGAAACATGTCTTATTTAATTTAAATATAATTTTTTTCAAATGCACGATACGTGTATTGACATAATTTCGTTGAAATGCGAATAGAATAAAAGTTTTGAGACTTTCAAAATAAATAAATAAAAAAACTTGTTATTTTCATTATGGCAATATTAAGTACGAAAAAATGTCAATGTCAATCAACACGTGTTGTTGACATGCTGCAGCGCGTCCGGAAAATGTCATTTTATAAAAATACAAATAAGCTGTAGTTTTCTTAGAAATATTTCATTCGCGTTGTAAATAAAAAAATAACTACAATGTTGCGAAGACAGGCGCGTTTGCGCCGCGAATACTTATATAGAAAATCAGTTGAAAACAAACAAAAAAGTATACAAGCGAAAAAAGATCAATTGAAAAGAAGTTTGGAAGAAAACATTCCGATTCATGGTGATTTAAGAAAAGAAGCCCTCTCTTTACAAAAGAGAATAGAATTTGAAGATAAAGGTAAGTTTGCGTACTTTAAATTATTATAGTATGTTTGTTTTCTAACCTCAAAATCGTATACCATTTTAAAGAATAAATTATAAATATTTACATAACTTTTTATTTTTACTCCAATCTACCTGAAAAAAATGCATAATAATGTGTTTTCTGTATATAAAATAGGTATCTTTTATTTCTAAATCTTTAATTATATATGTTTGTAATTCAGGACCAGAAAAAGCAGCAGTAATCGGAGGTTTTAGCGGTGGAGCGAATACTGCTAATTCACAAGATGATGAGTACAGATACGCCGGGGTTGAAGACCCAAAGATCATGATTACCACATCTAGAGAACCTAGCGCTAGGCTAAAAATGTTTGTGAAGGAACTCAGGTTAGATTAAATTATTAATATAGATTATTTTATTAAATTTATCATTCTGGAAGTCGTGGGGAGAGTCCAAGGGACCGCAATATTTATCTTGCTTATAGAAGTCTCTCTAAGCAAAGGTTCGCGCTTGTGAAAGTTGTCTGTCAGGACCTAATGACTCACTTATGTTAGTTTAACTGTAATGTATTTACTTGCATGTTATTTCGGTAAACTTAGCATAATATTGTAATATACAACTAGTAACACACAAAATGCTTAAGTATCAGATGATACTAGATGCTGTTGTCTTTTGCTGTAAGTTCTTCTAAGTTTAATATTTTTTATATCATAAAGTGGCAAACAAGCAAGTGGCCACCTGAAATCGATGAAATAGCGAAGTGACCGTTGCCCATAGACATACGCAATTGCACATGCATTGCCTACATTTAATCAATGGAGAAGGGGATGCACAGAAACAATATTTTCCCTTCCCATGCATCAAGTAGACCGGTAGTAGAGTCTGCAGCACAATTAACTACAACCACACAGAAGGCATGTGCGAAGTGATAGATAAGTTTAACTCGTAGTTACTAATTATTATGATTATTTCAGATTAATCTTTCCGAACAGTCAGCGTATGAATCGTGGTGGTTATGAGATGTCTCAATTGATACATGCCTGCAGAGCTAATGATGTGACTGATTTTATTGTTGTTCATGAACATAGAGGTGTACCTGATAGTTTGGTGAGTTTATTGTTCAGTGTGTCTTACAATGTACAGTTATAAACTCATCCTGCAATGTCAGAAATGCAAAGAGTACTAAATGTATTAAGCAACATTAAGCCCAGTATGTTTGGTCAAATGAAAATTAAAATTTAATGTTTGGTGTCTTACTTCTTACTAATATTATAAATGTGAATGTTTAGATAGATGGATGTTTGTTTGAAGATATTTCGGAAACCGCTCAATGGATCTTGATGAAATTTGGCATGGAAGAACCCATAGTGTAATTATTAAGTTTCTTTATCAATTTCGCGCGGATAGAATCGCAGCTAAATAGTATATCATCAACCTAGTTTTTTGGCTGAAAGTCAATGTTTCATGAGGATATTTTTATATCTGTTGCTTTTTACCCTCCGTAAAGTAACTGTGTGACCAATTTTTTATATCTGACTAGCTGTCGCCCTCGACTTAGTCCGTGCGGAATTAAATACAAACTTAATTAGTAGACTATGTGGTACACACATCCATTCATACATCGAAATTTGTATTTATGATATGAAAAATATTTTTCCTTGTATTACAGGTAATATGTCACCTACCATACGGTCCTACCGCGTCATTTACATTGTCCGGAGTGGTGATGCGTCATGATATACCAGACATTGGTCCCATGAGTGAACAGTACCCACATCTTATATTCCACAATTTTAAGAGCGACCTCGGTAAGTTAATTATTTAATTACATCTTTCATCGGCTCTCTATCCACACTGAGGGGCTCGGAGCCTATCCTAAGATAGTAACTAGGCCATAGTCAGCTCAGACCCAGTGAGGTGCCTTCACACATATCACGATGTTTTCCTTGACCATAAGAATGTTGGATAAATGAACATATATAAATCGAAAACACGTTACATGGCAGGATTTGAACCCGGACCTGCAGATTGCAAGTCAACTGCCTTTTAATTCTTAGGCAGCTGTAATAGTTTGAAAATTCTGGTATTTTAACACATTCAGTGTCATTAGCTTGTGTTGTGAATTCATTAAATTTATATTGGCATTGAGTGTGTTAACTTTTCTTTTTAGGTTTGAGAACTATGAGTATTTTGAAGTATTTGTTCCCGGTGCCTAAAGCAGATTCAAAACGAGTTATTACATTTGCTAATAATGATGATTATATTTGTTTTAGACAACATACATACAAAAAGGTATTTTATTTATATCTTTATATATATAATTCTTCTGTGAGTGTGTATGTCACTGAACTTCTCTCAAACGACTGGACCGATTTTGATGAAATTTTTTGTGTGTGTTCAAGGGGATCTAGGAATGGTTTAGATTCACAATTTTGTCAGCTGGACAATGTTTTTTTATTTAATTTTTAATTTATTAGTAGTTGTTGATTTTGGAATGTTTTACATTGGATCCGACAGACGGCGCTAACATCGCAGTGACAAATTGTCAGACAACTTCTGTCGGGTCCGCTAGTAATAATATAAAAAAGTATCACATAGGTTTTGTAACTATTGCATTTATGATATTGTCGTAAAATGACAAACCAACCTCTAATATTTGGTTCTTAAGTTTGGATAAAATTGCTTTGAGGTACTTACTATATTACTAATGTTATAAATGTGATTGTTTGGATGGATGGATGTTTGTTAGAAGATATCTCCAAAACAGCTGCATGGATCTTGAAGAAATTAAACATAGATGTATAGATGGCTACTAATTAAGGTTTTTTTTTAATTAATTAAACTGAATTTTACACCAATGTACGCTTTATTTTAATATATATATTTTTTTTATTTTTAGGCGGGTAAAGAAATAGAGTTAACTGAAATAGGTCCTCGTTTCCAAATGAAGTTGTATGAGATAAAACTAGGCACGTTAGAAGCCCTGGACGCGGCTGACACGGAGTGGGCCCTTCGCCCCTACATGAACACTGCAGCTAAACGAAGATTCCTCAGTGATGAGGACGGCTGGCAGGAGGAACAATAAAATATTTGACATGATAATGTTTTTTTTTAATTTTAATAAAAGACCATAGAGTAGTTGGCGCCAAGCTTAAGCTGTCATCTGTCAAAAATTTTTATACGTCATTCAGTGATTTAAAAAATAAATTCTATTAAGCAATTTGTGAACTGCCTTAACAATTTTATTTTTTTGATTTTTCGATTGATTTGATGAATTTATTATTAAGGTAAAACGATGTGCTCACTGACATAGCTTTATTGGAACTAGAAAAGACAGACTTTAACAGTGGAAGAGCCCGCTTTAATATGTTCGCACGAATTATCCCGGTTCGCCCGGTGAAATACCACGAGCACACAGAAGACAGGCGTGAAGTGGAAGCTATTCCAACTACAGTCTGATGAGTGTGCGTCCCGGAGGCCTAATTTAGTCCTCTTTCCCTTCCCATCCTTTTCTTTATAAGGAAAGGATGGGAAGTGGACTTTACGGATGAGAGGATGCATGGAAAGGGAAGATATTTTCTTTCTGTGCATCCTCTCGTCGGTCGATTAAAGGTAGGCAGCGCATATGCATTTGCGTATGTCTATGGGCAGCAGTCACTTCGCTATTTCAGCGATTTCAGGTGGCTGCTCGCTCGTTTGCCACCTTTTGATATAAAAAAAAAACTTAAAAAATATACCATAGACTAACTTGATGTGTTTTATAATTACAAAGTTACTTTTATATTACAAGCAGAATTGCAGAATGGCGCTAAAGTGACAGTTAGTTACAGTATACACAGTACTTTGTATATAAAGTGTTTTGTTTTTTATCTGTGCTATATTAATTGTTACTTTTGATTTGAGATTGAGATTTGACATCAATTTTTCTCTTCGTTTATTGACCATAGGATTTTTTTTGACTTGAATCGAACATGGTTCAGAAAATTGTAAGCGTCAAACGAAACGACACTATACAAATATTTCCCGTTGGAGCGATCAAATACATAAAATCCTTAAGCCCAAACTTATTTTGTCTACTGCCCACTTTGAGAATAAATATTTTTTAACAAGTTGTTGTTGACAGTCGAGACCTCATGCAGTCGTAGTCTAAAAGGGCCCCCTAGCTAGACCTTAACGCTTGTAACAAACCAATGAGGTTTATTTAGCGTTAAATATATGTTTATTTGTATTCAAAATTGTATTGTCAAATAAATAAAAAAAAAAGCTAAATAAAATTACAAATCACCCCCCAGGCCTCTACACAACGCCCCTAGTTTTTTCTGGGTCTCTTACCGCCCTTGAGACCTGCAGCACCCACAAGGGCGCGTTATCGCCCACTTTGGGAAAGACTGCTTTAGCCCAATGGGAAAGAAACTTTATTTATCCTATTAATTGGTATACCGACACAGGTAAGATCCCGTAGCCTCGCTTCCCTATAGGATGGCCACTGATGGGGTTTTAGTGGGTAAAACTACACATAACCTTGTCTCCCTCCCACAAGCAGGCTGTCTTTATTAAAATCCCTCCCCCCCCTAACTGATACAAAAGAGGCCGATTCGATTCGTGGTTATGAATGTTTTTTTTTAATGTATAGTCTTAAAATATAGTCTTTATTTAATTCTAGATATGCCTGTGCCAGATTTCTTGCAAGAACCTCTCACGTTGTACGAAATAGCAGAACAGTATTGGGATTTGAGAGCGTATCCTACACAATACGTCTTCTCTCTTCTAGCATTAGTGTCGCAAGATAAGTTGGAAAGAGACAAATGTATAGAACTCAGTTCAGCTGCGGGACAAGAGGAGTGGTTAAATTATTGTAGAAGGCCACGTAGGACTATTTTAGAGGTTAGAGTAATCCACACTTTGGAGTTAAACTTATTTTTTTTCTGGCCAAACTAACAAGAAAGAGACAAGATTGTTTTCGTTTTAAATTACCCTGAAACTATGGTTTTTTTGTGAATAACTATCCTTATTCAACTTAAACGAAATTATATCTAAATTTATAAATGCGAATGTTTAGATGGATGGATGTTTGCGTAAATGTATCTCCAGATCGGCTGCATAAATGTCGCTGAAATATGGCATAGTCTGGAAGAACACAGGCTACCGATTAAGTTTTTTTATTTCCGTGAAAACGTAGTCACGAGCGACGGCTAGTGCTTAACAAAAGGAGATAAACTCAAAAACTACTGGGCCGATTTAAAAAATTCTTCCACCAACAGATAGCTACGTTATTACTGAGTAACATAGGCTTTATTTATTACTATTTTTTTTTAATTTCGGACGAAATCATGTGCTAAAACTAGTATGTAGATATAACTTAATATAAATAAAGAATTAATCAGTTTCCTTATTCTAGGTGTTTCACGATTTCCACAAATCGACATCTAAATTAACCATAGACATTTTATTCGAATTATTCTCGACCATAAAGCCGCGTTCTTTTTCTATAGCAAGTAGTGCGTTGTTTTCTAATGGAATTAATTTCGATCTACTTGTGGCTGTTGTTAAATATAACACAAAATTAAAAAAACCAAGACTCGGTCTGACGTCTAATTGGTTAAAAGATTTACAAGTGGACGATAATGTCTATGGTTGGATTAAAAATGGCACTTTTAAATTTCCTAAGGAGGTAAGTTAGTGTTCTTTACATTATGGTCTATACCAGTGGTTCCAAAAGCTATTTTGTCTACTGCTCTCTTTCTTTTTCTTTCAATATACTAAATCAATTTTATCTTTACAAAACTAACCACAGACTAATTTCAATAGGCATGTTTATATCATTAATTTAAACACTGAAATATTCCAAAATATTTTTTTTATATCACAAGGTGGCAAACAAGTGAGCGGCCACCTGAAATCGCTGAAATAGCGAAGTGACCGTTGCCCATAGACATACGCAATTGCATATGCGTAGCCTACCTTTAATCGACGGAGGAGAGGATGCACAGAAAGAAAATATATTCCCTTTCCATGCATCCTCTCATCCGGAAAGTCCACTTCCACTTCCCATCCTTTCCTAATAAGAAAAAGGGTGAGAAGGGAAAGAGGACTTCATCAGCCCTCCGGGACGCAAATAGATCAATCCAAAGACGCAAATAGTCATAAATCCATAGACAATAAATATTATTGTCAGCCAATGACATGTGTATTATATAATTTCTCTTTCCCATTGAAATCGACTGCATATGCGATTTTGTATATTGTCTTAAAAGTGTACTGTGGACTTGATAATGTACTTCAGTCTTAATAGTGGACTTTGGTCAAGAAAATTTGGTCGTTGACTTTGACTACAGTTAAAGACCGTAAAAAAATAATTTATATTCTTCTTCTTCAAATGTCTTCTCCATACATCTCTATCAGCCGTCATATCCGAGTCTACCCCCTTCTTGAGACAGAAATGTCTATAAAACATATCGTCATCCCTTTCATTATCTTTGACATAACAAAATAATATGTTTTAAACAAAGGTTTTAGTCTCAGAAACCCACGATAAAACGCGAGTCACAATATTTAAACATTAACATTTTGTGCGTCCCGGAAGCCTAATTTAGTCCTCTTTCCCTTCCCACCCTTTTTATCAAAGGATAGAAAGTGGAAATGCCCTTTCCGGATGAGAGGATGCATGAAAGGGGAAGATATTTTCTTTCTGTGCATCCTCTCCTCCGTCGATGAAAGGTAGGCAACGCATATGCAATTACGTAAGTCTATGGGCAACGGTCACTTCGCTATTTCAGCTATTTCAGGTTTGCCACCTTATGATAAACAAAAACAAATGAACAATCAAGATATCAAGACATGTCAGATCTATTTGCTGAAAACAAAATTGTCTATGTTTCCAGAATATTCCACAAATCCTAATAGGTCCAGGTACAGGATTAGCGCCATTCAGAAGTCTCTTACAGGAAAGAGTGTCACAGAATTTAGCATCAAAAGAAATATACCATTTGTTCTTCGGCTGTCGATACAAAGATAAGGATTTCCATTGTAAAGAAGAGTTGGAACAAATGGTGGAAGACGGGAAATTGAGCTTGTATTGTGCGTTCTCTAGAGATCAAGACAATAAAATGTAAGTATATGATAAGTTCTCTAACCATTGGTTTCTGAGACAAAAATCTCTGTATAAAATATATCGGCATCCTTCTCGACAAATCAAATATATAAAAATTTGGTTTTAAGGGATGCTAGTGTCAGAAACCCACATTAAGTTTAGTAAATCAAAAATAAAACTTAACTTTTTGACTAATTTTAAATACATAAAAATTAATTGGTGTTCGTTAGTCTCGCTAAGACTCGAGAACTGCTGAACGTATTTATTCATCTTGGTTTTAAAATGTTCGTAGAGTTCTAGGGAAGGTTTATTAAAAGTTTTTTTTTCATTCAACGCTGACGAAGTCGCGGGCGACAGCTAGCTTTTTCAAAATTTTTGTCTATTTTTTTTTCTAGATACGTGCAACACAAAATATCCGAACATGGTAATAATCTATGGAAGCTGATAAAAGATGGCGGCTATATATTTATATCTGGCAACTCAAAGAACATGCCGGATAACGTCAGGGATGCTTTTAAAGATGTTTTCTGTGAAATCGGAGGTTTAAATGAAAATGAATCTAAAGATATGTTACAAATGTTAGAAAAATCTGGTAAATTACAAATGGAGACCTGGTGATATATAACATTTTTTTTAATACTATTTGTATAAAATTATCACTGAAAAAATATAATTTTACTGTGATTTTTGTTACAAAAATAAATGTAATTTATTAAATAACAATTATTTTATTTATATAATACTAGCTGTCACCCGCGACTTCGTTCGCGAGGAAATAAAATAACGTAATAAGTAGACTATGTGTTCTTCCAAACTATGTTCTACATCTATGACAAATTTTAGCAAGATCTATGCAACTGTTCTGGAGATATTTTCAAACAAACATCCATCCATATCCATCTAAATATTCGCACTTATAATAAGTAACAGATTAAATAAAACATAGATTTTTATTTTAATTTTTGTAGCATTGCAACACTGTACACTTTTAGGAAAGGAAAGAAAACAATAAAATATTGTCAAAAATTTATATTTAATATAAAACTAATGGGGTAGTCTCAACCCATGCATGCAACTAAATATCCACATTCCGGGGTAGACAAGTTGTAAAGGCTACCCATTGCCTGCTAGTATGTATAAGATTCAAACTTTATGCCTGCTTGTTTTACGTTCGTAGCTTTATGTACTAGAAGGACCAATTTCATGTGAAGACAAGCTTATAAGATCGAATTTAGTCAGGATATTAAAAAGTAAGTCAGTTTTAGCCTAAACTTTCCAGTAGTGTATTAGTTGAATTGTCAAAATTTTATGAAACTGACTTTTTACAATAATGACCATCCGTTTAAGTCCAAAGTTTGACAGCTAACCTTTGTCGGTCTGTCAAAGTCAAATTGTCAAGATCCTTGTTGTACTATATTTGTGTCTTAGTATTTTTGATGACATTTTTGTGCTTAAGTAGGTTTTAAATTTGTCCGTCACCGGGCCAAGCATTGTTTGACTAATTTCACATTTTTCTAAATATTGACACAATTTCTTGTATACACAATTCACATTTTCATTTATTTCAAAACCTATTGCCGCTTAATTTCTTCCAATTGTGAACACACACTATCCCGGTCTTCTATACATCTTGTGTGATATAGCAAGCCAGCATAAAGTTTGCATATAACTATATCTAGTTATTAGGCAGTCCCCATAACTTGAGATTGCCAGCGTCTCGCTTGCGCTCCGGTGGCTCCTTGTCTTCACATGCAAAGGCCACCAGATAGCGGCTTGGATGCCATGCCACTGTGAATGTGGCTGCCTGAACTGGGATCTCTGCTACCTTCTCACCTGGGAAACAAAACAAAAATAATTTTTATACTGCCCCTTATTAAATTAGAAAATCCCAATCGGTCAATTCGTTTAGGTTTATTACTACTATTATAAATGCGAATGTTTGGATGGATGGATGTCTGTTTGTTACAAGGTATCACTGGATCAGCTCAATAGTTTTTGATGAAATTTGGCATACATAGAACATAATCTGGAAGAACACATTGGCTACTTATTAGGATTTTTTTTATTCGGCGCACGAAGCCACGGGCGACAACTAGTAATAAATAAAATCAACAGCAAACAAAGCATATAAAAGATAAAATTTATGACAAAAGCAAATAAATACTAATTATAGTGAACTAGCAACACTGAATGTATTGAATGAAATTAGCAAATCCATTAACTGACCTGTCTCCGTGTCTCCAATGTCAATAACATGGTCCTCACTAGCGGAGGCCAGTAGACGACCATCAAAACTGAATGACAATGTGCGCACCGGCCATTCTAACCTAAAAACATATTATTGTTCTACTTCTATACACTAATATTATAAGGAGAAAACATTTGTAAGTTTATATGTAACAAATAAACTCAAAAACTACTGGACAGATACTAATAATTCTATTGCTATTAGAAAGCTATTTTATTGCCGAGTAACATATGCTATATTTGTGTTGAACATTTTGTTTAATATCGTCCAAATGACACGGGTAAAACTTTTATTTCTTAATATAGGAACTTTTAAACAATAGATCACAATTTAACTTCGATTGCAATTAAGTTAAAAGCTAAATAAAAATTTAATATTAAACAACAATCATTCATAAAAATTCAAGATCAATTATTTAGCTATAAAACGTAACTCACCTAGAGAAGACTCTCAGACAGGCCAATTCCTGTACATGCCAGAGTGACACAAGGGCATCAGCGGAGCCTGTAGCGAAGTACCGGCCTGTAGGGTCATGCTCAATACATATACAAGTGCCTGGATGAGCCTTTAACACTGTCTGGAGGTGGAGACCAGGATACCTGAACATGAGAACAGTAAACGGCATTTGAGTTACGAAATGTGACATACAAAACTTTTTAACTATTTTCTTATGTTAAGACTGTCGTTATTTACTGAAACTTCCATATAATATATAAATTAGTAAATATGTATTATGCTATACAAATTTTGGACCTAATTTAAAAGTGTCAGATGACAGTGTCGGCGTTGGTTAAGCACTTGATTTATTACTACAGGTCCTGGGTTCAAATCCCGCCATGTACCAATGTGTTTTACAATTTCCATATGTACATTTATCCAACATTCTTACTGTGAAGGAAAACATTGTGTAACCTATACATATCTATAAAGAAATTTAAAGATATGTGAAGTCAACCTGCACTGGGCGTAGTTGACTATGGCCTAGTCACCTTTAACTTAGTGTAGGCTCTGAACCCCTCGGTGGCGACGTATAATGAGCTGATAATAATGTTATTCTCTTTACTTAAATGAAACATAAAAAAATATTAATTTTACAACTTACGTCATAATATGTACACAGCCCAGTCCATTGGTGAGATAGAAGAGATCAGAGTCATTGTTCCAAGAGATTTCGTTTACTTCAAAGTTAAACTGCTCCTCGGTCACCTTAACACAAAGGATATATTACATCTTACTAATATTATAAATGTGAATGTTTAGATCAGTGGATCCCAAACTTATTTTGTCTACTGCCCACTTTGAGAATAAATATTTTTTTAGCGCCCCCATATTTTCACAAGTCATGTCTAAGAGGCCTTCTAGCTAAATAAAATTACAAATCACCCCCAGGCCTATACACAACGCCCCCATTTTCTTTCTGGGTCTCTTACCCCCCTTGAGACCTGCATCACCCACTTTGGGAAAGACTGGTTTAGATGGATGGATGTTCGTTTGAAGGTATCTTTCGAACAGCTGCACAGATCTCATTGAAATTTGACATGTGAGTAGATTGTAGATGTAGAACAAAGTCTGGAAGACCACAGAAGATACTCAAATTTTTTTTTACTTTTACATGGATAGAATTGTGGTCAACAGCCAGTATGGGTAATACTTACCACCTTGTAAGTTCGTGTATCTATAAATGAGACAAGATCTTCCTTGTTGCCAACTGCTATAGTACTACCATTGGGAGACCACGCTATGTTTATATTCTCACCCTTTGTTGATATACTGGCCGCACATTTGTGTGATCTGGAGGATAAAACAATATGGATGTTAAAAAATATATAGAACAAAAAAAATACATAGGAAAATGTACATGGTTTTAGAAGAATTGTCTTCTTTCTTTATACATTACTTTAAATTAACATTAAGTTGAGGAAGAAAAAGAATTTTACATGTTTCATGTAAGAATTTAGTAAAGTTAACAAATCAAAGTACTAAATCACATTCTTGCAAGTACTTATATATATATATATATATATATATATATATCATTTCATCTCTCTTTTGCCTAAGATAACATGTTTAGTGAATATGTGGTAGAACCCAGGGAGGTTAAAATTAATTATCGTTTTTTAGTATTTACCCTATATTTAATATTTACCTGGTATCCCATATCCTAACAGATTTGTCACCACTGGCTGTGCTGAGGAGGTCCGCATGCGAGGCGTGCCAACACAACTGGTCTACAGACCCTGTGTGACCTTTGAATACAAAATCCTGGACCTGGTCACAGATTTACAATATAAATAACCTATATTTCAAATATACATTTTAAAAGTAGATAACTAAGAGGTCACTTACCAATTTGCTTTTTTCCAAATTAAATATAGCTACGCTTTTATCAAAGGACCCGGAGGCAAGTCTTCTTCCATCACACGACCAACCAACGGAATGAACTTTTGATGTATGCGCTATATATTCTCTAACGACATTATGTGAAGCAAAATAACTTCGCAGTTCTGCTAAATCCTCTATCGGAGTTTGTGTCTGTTTAGGATCTCTCATTTTAATTAACTTTATAAATCCATATTAATCCAAATAAACAAAACAAACCAACTTTGAAACAACGCTTTGACAGTTGAAACTTGTTATGTTGACAGTGACAGGACGAATAGCATGCTGTTTTTAAGCACAGATCCAATAAATAAAACCACAGATAAGTCTGATTTTTTCAGGTTTACGAACGGAACAAGAGAAAGTTCTCTCCCCTTCTTGTTTATTCCCTGCCCTTCTCCTTTGTCGATAAACTTCCCTCATCTTTTCACGCCAACTCACCCATACTTTTAGTCGGGCAAGAAGGTAACAAGAATGATTTAGCAAAAATGAGTAGTATGGCCAGAAATAAAAAGATTTAAATTTAATTTAATTTAATGTTCAATACACGCTTATTCAATGTATTTTCGCCGCCACACTTTAATTTGGGTTAGAAAATAGAGTGGTGGTGACATCCACATAGTGATGATGAAGACCACGTGTAACAATTTTTCCTGCAAAAAAGGTTTTAACTTTATTCGCATATTGTATAAGAAAATTAATTGTATTGTAGGAAATCTATTGAAAACACGGAGTCTTTTCTACTGTATTTTTACAAGATTACTTCTTTCAAGTTTCTAAGGATGTTTAGTCATATTTCTTACCGCATTTGAACATTTCACTCTTGGCGGAACAGAAATTACGTGCCCAACTTGAGTCCACGTACGTTTTGGCACAATAAAATAATTTTTACTCATACGTAATACACTCGAAATGTTATTCACAAACATTTTGAATAATGTTTTGAATTTATTGACATTGATTTACAACGTCAACGGATAAAATATGCGAATAATTTATTTGAATATGGAATGTTCTATTTGTTTTTTAAAACCTATTAAACTTTTTGAACCTGCTGATTTTTCTTCAACTTATTTCCCGCCATCGCACTGGTCCCAGGAAAGGGGATACAGTTGGAACATTTTCGAGACAAATGTCGATTATGAAATAAAATATCAAGTTGTAAATAAAAAAAATATAAATATATTCAGGTAATAAATTACGTATATTTAACACTTATATTAATACTACTACTATATACTACTAAATAATTAATACATAATTAAGAATTAAAAGAATCACAAAACATTTTAAGTCTGTAGTTTTCTGTCAGCCAGTATTTTTCAGGAACTTCGCTTTAAGGCAGTAAAAAAAAGTAATTTTTACCTTAATTTCATTCATAGGTTACTTCCATACAATATTTGAACAAATTTATTTTCTCAAAAATCACAGTTATGCCAACATAAAATATTATAATACATTTAAAAACAATAAAAGGTTCATACTTTGAATACAACGTCATCTGTGTATTTTTTTTAATTTTCCAAAAATCATTTTTTCCAAATTTTGCATATCTTTATAAAGATGGTATGTCGAACAACCTATAATATTTGCACATTCGTTTAAAACGAAACAAAAACTGGCGGGAAATTGTTCTTTTAATTCCGAATCGAATTTTAAATACGCATGTGAATATCTTGAGATACAATCATTCTTGTAAAAACGTAACCAATAGTTGAATTTATTAATTTGAGTTGAATCATTAATTAAATGTGGAAAATAATCTTTATTATCTTCATGTTGCTTTAGTTCATCGCAACTGTCATCTGATAAACATAAACTGAATTTATTTTTTCTCAAAGCTGTAACTGGTTCATCCAAATTATCTATTTCTTTAGTAGATTTTTCAATTTTGTTTAAAATTATTTCATCGATTACAGGATCTTTATCTATAACGAGAGATTCGTCAACCTCTATATCATTTAATTTAATATACAATTGGCTAATATCGTGAGTTTTAGCATCGAAATCTGGATCTTCTTTATTCAAATTATCATTCAAATCTTCATTCTGCTCAATATTAGTTGAATTCAAATTATCTGTGCTATTATTTTCTTCAATATTTCCTGTATTTACTAAATGATCTGTTATGTTTGTTTGTTCATGATATAAATCATCGCTAACATTATTGGTTAAATGTTCATTTGTCACATCGAGGTTATTTTCCTGTCTTTCAAAAGCATCTTTAACTCTCTCTGTCACTTTAGTTAATATATCAGTTTCTATATGACTATAATATGAACCAATCATATTGTTTATTTTCTGTTTAATATCAACAGTTCTTATTCTACGTTTTCTAGGCAAACTTTCGGTAATTTCTGTTTTTTCGGCTTTACGTTTTCTTGGCCTTGGTACGTAGTCTTTTGGGAGTTTGATTTTGTATTTTTTTAATGCTAAAGCAATTAATTCATTTATAATTGCTTCTTTATTAAAATTATTCTCATCGATATTTAATTCAGTTTCATCGAATGTATTTAATTGTCCCATACTGTGATTTAATTCTTCAATATTTAAATTTGGTTGTTCGTCTGTGATTGATTTGTCATCTTTTAATAAAAAATCAAAATTGTCATCAAATATGTTAATACCTTCTTGTTCCTCTTCGAAACATTCAAATTTTATATCTTCTTGTTTAATATCTTCGATTTTAACATCAGTTTCATTCATACTTGATTCAAAGACTTTTGAATCTATAGTTTTATCGTTTATATGCTCTAAAGTAGGTTGTTTTGTTTTCAACCAATTTTTATTTTCACAATTCCTAACGAAAACCATAGTATTATCAGATCTTTTTACATCTATATTTCTATCTAAATCTGATTGAATTTTTATATTTAATTCATTAATACCTGTTATAATATTTTCATTTAAATTGATAAGTTTAATATTTTCAGTTGCATATTTAAGATTGTATTGTGTAAAATCTTCACTTAGTAATAATCTTATTTCATCATTAGGAACTATATTTAATATAATATTGGTGTAGGTAGACATTGGTGTTAAAGAAGGTGGAAATTCACTTTTAGGTATAACATTCATGTTATTTTGGTATGGTATTTTGTTTAATATATCCATTGTCACTTCGTCTCGTAACTTTATATGCCTTTTCTTTCTTTCACCTAAATGTTCCATTAAAATGAAATCATTAACTTCTAAATTATAATGTCTTGCCATTGGTAAATAATATTGACATATTAAAATCTTTCTGAATTGTAAAAAACGTGTCCATTCGTCAAATGAAAACAATCTTTCCGTTGATTCAGTGTACATACCTATTTTGTATGATTTCAAATGATTTTCTTTATTATTAATTTGATTAATTACATTTGATGTTTGAATTTCATAAGCACCGTCTAATCCGAAGCACATTTTGAGAGCTAATAATATATAAGACATAGCAATCGTCTCATAATCAGGTATACGTACCATTTTTTTAATTGTTATTTTATTTATTTTAAATTTATAAGGTTGATACAGTAATAAAGAATATACTAAATTCTTAAAATCATTAGGTAAACATAGTTCTTTAATATATGTATTTATCATTTTATTAAAATCAGGTAAAATAGGATAACCAAGATCTAAAACTTTAACACAAGTTAATGCATAATGCAATATTGTGTTCGATTTATAATCACATTTGCACTGACAAAAGTTTTTCCAACAAGGTATTAGATTTGTTTCGATTTCTTTTGGTACGAACTTCGTACATTTAAATAAACTTAATCTATCTTCTTTTATATATCTGAATAAATGTGATAATTGTATTGAACATTTATCAAAATTTAATGCTAAATATAATATAGCTAGTAATAATCCTTTTGTAATTATTGCAATGTTTTTTATATATTTTGCGGGTATATTATTGTTATCGTCATCAGAATCTGAGCTAGTAGTACCATCTAAAGAGTCCGGACTCTTAGATCTTTTACGTCTCTTTGTTGTGTTATCTTCAATTTTACTCTGGGTCCTGAAATATACAAAGAATCTTTCTAATTAAGACTTTTTAAGGAAATATCCAAAAATATCCGACATCACAGGGGACCGCAAATCTGGCAGCTACCTCGGACAAATTAGTTTAGCTATCCAAAGGGGGAACACTGCTAGTGTCTTCAGAACCTTGCCTAAAGGGACTCCTTTTAATGATATATTTTAGTAAATTATGCGTTTTTAATATTTTATTTAATAATAGATTTAAGACTATTCATTAGATTCGTTGTTAGTTTATTTCAGAAGTAATATTTAATATAACATAGTGCTACTATACTTACTAATGTTATAAATGCAAATGTTTGGAACGATAAATGTTTGTTAGAAGGTATCTCCAGAATGGCTTAAAGGAATTTGATGAAATTTGACACAGATGAAGTACGTAGTCTGGAAGAACACATAGGCTACTTTTTTTTGCTATGTATATATGCAATATGCTCTTATACATGTATTTAAAGAGTGAAACTGTTAATTATGTACACAATCTAAATTTTTAAGTCATAAATATTTTTTTTAACTGAAATAAGCAATGCTTTTCCTAGGAAACTTAGTTTTCAAGACTTCTATTCTGGGATTCAAACCCACAACCTCACAATCTGTAGTCCAAATTGTGTAACCATTACACTATAAGTGTCTTTACAGTTTTAACAAAAAGTACTTACTCTAAATTTTCTTTCTCTTCCTCATCTTTCTCTTGAAATTTCTTCATATACCGTGTCCAAATCCAGAGTACTTTAGTCTTGATACTCTGTTTAGCTCCAAGTTTGATTAACTCTTCAGTAAGGCCATAGAGTATGAAATTGTATGCATGCCATTTATACCATTCTGCACTCACTGGAATAAAAAAAAAAACAATTATTTTATTTCTATCTGTGCAACTACTAGATGATACAAAATTATAATTTTACAAAGACAAAAAGAAGCTGGAGGGCAAAAGGAAAAATCATATATTATTTACAAAGCTTAATGACATTGTAAACAAAGAAGCAGTCACTTCAAGTTGACAAAAACATGCAATCTCTTGTTGAAAACTGACAAATACATTTCTTGGGCGGTATTTTTTTCGTTTCTTAAACTAAATATGCACTAATAAGGAACACTTAACTACTCTGGGTGCGAACGAAAGAGTATAATATATATATATAACCTTATAACTTATCAGAAACATGTGAGTTAACCTTACTTTGGATTCCTTCTTTGATCATTATGGAAAACTTCTTTCCTGTTGCCAAAAGCTTTGTTCCATCCGCAAAAAATGATTCCCCGACAATCGTTTCTCGAACATTTACATCTTGGGTACCACATTCTACACAATAATAAAAACCATCTACTAAGTTTAAATCGGTGCTGCCGCACACACTACACGGTATATCGTTCATTTTCTAAGTAACTTAAATTAAGCTCTTATCGAAATCATAGTATATAAGAATAAATAACAATTTAAGTTACTTGGTTGATGCGTAAAATTAAAACACATGTTATTTGCCGGGTTTTTAATTCTTATCGTATGATGGACACATGATTTTGACATTGACGTTTTAAAATAAATTGCTATGCAAGCACATTGATACCATCACAAAAAAATGTGGATTTTACTTTTTATTTCAAAAGATGTAAAAAGTATTTATTTAAATAGTACCATCAGATTCATTTATTTCTCCTTAATTAGTTTAAAAAAATAAGTCATACAAATTTTTTGACTTTCTCAATCTGTTCTAAGACACATGACTTGTTGCTACTAGTCTCACTAACTACTGTTTTGGTAACTATTTAGGCCCTTCGAACACAAGGCAATGTAAATTTTCGGCGATTTTTAGTCGCTAAGCAACTTACACAATATAATGTTTTAAAGGATCGTACATAGTTTCGCCGACATTTGTCATCACCAAAGACATTTGCTCGCAAGCTGTTTGTTGAGATCGTCCTGGAAAAGTCGCTACAATTTGGGTAATAGTGAATCAAATCTTAACGTGTAGTTCCTATGCCTGAACAACAATATTAGTTTTGACAATTTACGTTGCTTTGTATACGAAGTCTTGTGTCTAATGGTCAAGTTTGTGAAATACTTGATTCGTAAACATATTTTATTTGTTCCATCTTTAACTTTACCAATAAAACGATGTTAGACTAAGTTGTTTGCTATTCATTTTTACTAGAACAATACGTAAACATATCACAACGGAAATTGCAGAAGTTAAGAGTAGAAAAAAGTCAGTTCGCTATTCATTTCTACCTTTTTCTTGAATTGGTATATTTTAAATAGCTATGTGGCAACATAACTGTGTTACACCGTGTGGTAATTCGTAGCGTATCGCCGTACGTCGTCAATAACTCGCTAGGAACCCGGGGCGTGTTCTCAGCAACTCGTAAAATTGAAAGAAACCGACCGGCTAACCTTGCTAATAACATCAAGGAGTATTTGTGCCTCTCTCAGGTGTCATATTGAAATGCTATCGTCGCTTCATCTAGTCACACCCCTGTTTAGTAAATCGTGAATCTGCGTTTCTGCCGTTAGACCTATATTCCATCGCGTGGAGTGTTACAGAAGTTGGTGACTGAGCTAATGTTGTGCAGTGTTGAATTCAGTGCGAGATCCCGCGTACATTGATGGGCGGCATTTTGTTGTCGAAGAGGGCGGCAAAGCGGCCGCACGGGCGGGCACTTGCTTCCTGGAGGGTCTACATTAAAATCCGTCACACTGGAACTGATGGAATTGGAGAATATTGTCGCGAACACTGTCTACTTAAAAGCCAGAGAGGGTATGTATTGATAATTTAATTAATATTCATAAATTATTCTATATTCAAAATTGTATTTGCGTTTAGCGCGAATCAATGTAAACAGCAGGTGATTGACCCGATTGTCGATTGTTTATTTCTACATTTCATCAATTGAAACATAGAACATAAATTAAACAGACATATTATAAGATTGATAATTATTTCGAAGATTAAATAATTAAATAAGAAGCATTTTAGTTTAAACCTATATTAATTATTTTAGAAAACCAACTGTATCATTGAATACTGCAGAATTTGTGTATGTAAATAATCCTTATGTAGATAAACCTTCATTTTATATCTTCATACATAAAATGTGTATGTTAGGCTAACAATTATTCATAATTATCATATGTTTAGCAAAATAAGGGAAATATATTGATTAGTACAAAACCAAACACTCATAATATTCATTTCAAAATATTATTTTATTTTTCTATATAAACATAGATGGAATTGACAGTATTTAAGTAATAAGTAATAGTCCTTGCAACTTATTTTATATTGTTTCTAAGGTAGGTTATCTATGGTTTTGGTCTTGGATAAACAAGACATTTTCCTCCATAATCAAGAAACTTGTGTTAAAGAGAAACCTCTAAAAGTGATGAAAATATTGCTATCTCTTGGACTCTCATTTCACCAGGTTAAAATGAATATTTTTTTAAAAACAAAAGTGTTTTTAACACTACAAATGATAATAATTGGTAATTTATTTTTTATCTACTTATAGATATCTATTTAGACATTATAGGAACTACTTTCTCATGATTCTTTCTAGCTATTGCTTGACACTCAGTTTGGGCGGAATTTTCGTTAAAAAAAACTTAATTAATTGTTTATGTGTACTTCCAGACTATGCCAAATTTCAGAGAGATCAATACATCTGTGCTGTAGATACCTTCTAACAGACATCTAAACTATCCCATTTATAATATTAGTAAGAAGTTAGATATATTGACTACAAACAAAGATTATAATAATAAAAGAAAGTTGTTATCTATTCCTCATAACAATTGTGTTATCTTATGGTTGCGTAAAGCACTTAAGATAAAATACCAAGCATCCTGCATGGCCTTATATTGATAAGGGTTTCTTTTGTTTTATACTTTCCGATTAACTTTTTTCATGGATACGGAGTTTCAGAAAGTTTTTGCTACACTTGTTTTCTTCCATTTTATAATATTAGATATTATATTACATATCACTTTAGACTAGCTGTAGCCTGTGATTCTGTCTGCTTTGCAACAAAATAAATCTTAATCAGTCGCCTGTGTATTCTTCAAGACTATATTCTACATCTATTGCTAATTTGGGTAAGATCCATCCATTCATTCTTCTAACAAATATCCATCCATCTGAACATTCTTTATCATTATTATATGCCCCCACTAAGGGGCTCAGATTGTATCTTGGGTTGACTAGGTCATAGTCAACCATGCTGGCCCAGTGCGGGTTCACTTCACACATATCTTTGAATTTCTTCACAGATATTTGCAGATTGCATCACACTGTTTTCCTTCACTGTATGAATGTTGGATAAATATAAATCCAAAAACACATAGGTACATGACAGGATTTGAACCCAGGAGATTACAAGTCACATTTAACCCCTGAGCCAACTATATTGCTAATATTATAAATGCGAATGTTTAGATGGATGGATGTTTGTTTGAAAGTATTTCCACAACTGCTGAACGGATCTTGATGAAATTTGGCATACATATAGAACGTAATCTGGAAGAACACATAGACTACTTATTATGTTTTTTTTCTAATTCCGCGCGGACGGAATCGCGAGCCACCGCATGTATCAAATTGGCTCTTACTGCAAATTTTATTTACGTTAATTGCATCATAAATCACCAATATGATTTATCTTACGACCACATTTACCTACTTGTGGCCAATTCGAAAACGATAAAATGTTAACATTGCCTATTAATTAGATGTTACGATAGTTCGGATCAAGTAAACTGTATTGGTCAAAGTCCTTTTGAAATAAGACATGCTTGTTGTAGATTCAAATGAAAACGAAGTCATTAGTTTTTTTTTTATATCACAAGGTGGCAAACGAGCGAGCGGCCACCTGAAATCGCTGAAATAGCGAAGTGACCGTTGCCCATAGACATACGTAATTGCATATGCGTTGCCTACTTTTATGTGTGTTTTATGTGTTCTTCCAGATTATGTTGTATATTGTAGTGTATGCATAAACGTAGTGTTGTTTGTCTCGCACACGCCATAAGTATACGCCGGAGAGAAGGGGCGTCAGTCGATGTCAGACCTTTGGACCGGCAACACGTGTCGGTACGTGAACGAGCCAAATATAACACAACGAATGCTACATATATGTATGCCAAATTTCATCGAGATCAGTTCCATCCATACATCTAAATATTGGCATTAATTATATTAGTAAGATTACAATAGTGGTAGACGCAAATATCTGTTGCTATGGCGGGCTAGCCGATTTGAATACCACGACCACGCAGTAGCCAGGCGTCAAGTGGAACCAATTTCGCGTTTCGTCAGATGAGTCTACGTGCTGAAGTACTAATTTATGACACCCTTGTCTTATAAGGAAAGGATGAGAAGGGATAGTGGATATGACAAAGGAGTAGTAGCATAGAAAGAGAAGATATCCCCATTCTGTGCCCCCCCTTAAGTCAATTAAAGGTAGGCAACGCATCTCTCCTGTAACTCTTAGTCGGGGTTAGTTAAGTTGGCTTGATGTGAAATCGAGGGCCAGAATTAGTATTACGAAGTATATGTTGCAAGTGCAGTGATGCACGGCGACTGTGCAGATCGTTGTCTCAGCCGTCTCTTGCATTACAATGCAAGCAACAAGGGCGCGCCCCACTTGCCGTCCTATTGAAACTTGGATATGACGTTGGTATTATAAGATTCAAAGTTTACAGCTGCTCGGGAATCGCTAACGTTTGGGTGACTTATTATAACGCGGAAAGCTAGCTAATGATGGTATCCTATACAGTGTACCCTTTTATGTCCCTTCGATACTCAAAATTATCTTTAGATTAGCGCCGAGATTTCTAATTTTCGTTGATCTCTTTTCGACATACTGTTTCGGTAGTCCTATCGCCAAGATATTTCTTTTATAAATAATAAACTTTAATTTTATTTAACCATCTTACTACGCCGCTGGATCTTCCGTAGACCCCATGTTATTGGAACACTCTGGGAACTACTGGTGTAAGGTGTAAGTCTCATGTAATATTCTGAGCTGTTATCAAGTTTGAATAGCACTATAATGAGTGATCGAGATACAATCAATTGCTACTAGTATGGTCTGATGATGCTCGGACGGATCAGTTTTATACATTTTTATATTATATTTAGATGTCTGATGACTTATAGGGGTTGATAGTGGCGTTTTAAACTTGAGTTTCCATTGCCGAAACATACGCAAAAGTATATAAATCATAACGTAGGAAATATATTATTGACTCATTTGTTGTTGCCCGCGACTTCGTTCTCGAATAAAAAAAACCTATAGTCTATGGTCCCTTCCAGACTATGTTGTACATCTATGTAAAATTTTAGCGAGACCTATACAGCCGTTCTGGAGATATCTAACAAACATTCTTACATATAAACTTTTGTGTTTATTAAGATTTGAAATTTCACACAAACTTTGGTATACGTAGTATTCATATAAATTTCTCAGAGAGCTACAAAACACTGTTTATTACTATTCAAGTGCTCGTTTACCGCAAGTTTGCGGTAAGTAAAACATCGTAGCATTTTGCATGCCAATAAAATGAAGGGATTTGAAGATCGTAAAAAATGCATATTAATATCGCATTCGTAATAAAGTTATCAAAGTTTTTAACAGTGGTGAGCCCGTTTTCACATCTTAGCGTGAAATAACACGACCACACAGAAGACAGGCGTGAAGTGGTAGCAATTCCACGTTTCGTCTGATGAGTGTGTCCCTAGAGGCCCAATTTTAGTTCTCTTTCCCTTCCCACCCTTATAAGGAAAGGATGGGACGTGGAACTGTACTTCCCGGATGAGAAGATGCATGGAAAGGGAAAATATTTTCTTTCTGTGCATCCTCTCCTCCGTCGTGTATAATTATATAATTTAAACCGATTCTTTGTAGTGTTCGTTTTAACATTATTATTTTGCCTCGTGCTTGAAAATATTTTTTCTTTTTAAAGTTTTTGTATAGGGCTTTGCTTTTTTAAAAACAAGATACAATTACATACGGATAACATAACATAATATGACAGATAACGCACATATTGCCGGGATATCATGTTCCTGCGCTTATCAATTATTATGCGAGGATATTGTTACAAATCGTACAGCCTCCCCCTTCACCCCGCACACTGTATCAAAACGATTATAAACCATAGGTTTAGCTCGCGACTTCGTCTACGCGGAATTTAAAAAAGCTTATTAAGTAAGCTTTTGCATCCAGACCGATGCAGCCGTTCTTCAGATACTTTCTAACAAACATCCAAACATTCTTATTTATAATATTAGTAAGATTTAATTGGGTTTTTATTCTGCTACGGTTTGTTTTATAGAGGTAGACCCCTTAATAGAATGAGGTGTAGTTAGATTGATTTGAAAGACGACAATCATAGGTAACTCGACCAAAATTGATGGTCAGTGGAAGCAGATCAGTGAACCGAATCGTAGCTCGGCTCAATTTGTACCTTAATCGAGTTATGATTTCGAGTTACAAAGTCACTAGGTTGCTAGCAGCTTACTTCACAAACTTATAGTACATCGTGATGAGCAATGAGTTGCCAATTTAGTTGTTGAGACGCAGCGTAACTGTTCGTTTAGGGAAAGATAGACTCCTCAAGGTACAACTATGGTTTTATTAGACCAATTCATACTTGCGTCTCGTCTGAATAGAATATCATCAGCATCAGCTCACTATACGTCCCCACCGAGGGGCTCCCAGCCTACCCTATGTTAGGGGTGACTAGGTCATAGTCAACCAC